TTTTTTTTTTTTTTTGTGCACTGTTACTCTTGTTAATTTGTTTACTAAAACCTTTGCTTTTGTTTGAACGTATTTCCATATTGAATGAGAATCGAAATTAGTCGAAATCTTCTGTTTACATATATTATATATATGGTGATGTAGCATATAGAACAGCTCGGACAACTGGCTTGAGCGATTAGCTCGGGTACGGTTGGTCCAGGCCAGCTTTAGCTTGATTTCTACAATTTAAAGATATACGGTATTATTTAAATACCTATAAAGATTTATGTTCCGTTTTGAGAAATAACCGAAATGAATGCATTTTTCTACCCGAACAAGATTTTGTACTGAGTCCGATCTACCAGTGTGGGATAAAGTCCGGCTAGCCGAGTGCTACGCAGTCCTCGATCTGGTGCGAGATCGGCTATACATATCCTACGTAGGAAACTTTAACGGGTGATTTTGGAGGACCACACTTCTTAGTTATTAAGGAAAACTTCTTGTTTTAGGGAGTAAGTCATTAAGCAGTATACATATTCAATTTCTAACATAAGCTCTCACTAAAGAATCTATCATGTCATTTACTAATTCCTCAATTATGTTCTTGCATTCATGATGTTAGATGATTTTGTATTTTTTAATTGTATGATGTTGATTGGATGATTTTGTATTTTTTAATTGTAGGGAGTTAAGTGTAATAAAATTGTGGAGAAGGGAGTGAAGAGGAAAAAAAATGTATGATTGCTGATAAGGAAAATGAAGTAGGGATTGAGGAATAAAGTGTATAAAACCGTTAACTGAATTTAATAGGGATGTCAAGTTGTCAACAATTATCAACATTAATAGTAAAAAGCAAGTTTAAACTAGGCAATTAATGTAATTATCAACATTAATAGTAATGGAATTATCAACTTTACTGGTTGGCTTTATAGCAAAACCGTGAGAATATATTCTTTCACAATGAAGCTTATATTAAATTAAAAATAAATATTTTAACTCACCGCATACGTAGGAGCATTAAAGTATCATTTTTATGATAACTTTTTAATTAATCATATTTTTTTATAAAAAAAAAAACATTTTTGTTAACAATGTTGCAGAAAATCATTTTCCAAAATGAGAAAAAAAAATCATTTTTGGCAGTATTTTAAAAATTAAATATCAAAATTTCATTAAATACTAAAATTAATATTTTGGTGGGAAATGTTTAAACCTTTCATTTATTAATAGATTCGGTAATATATTTAACAAGTACGCATACACTTTTATAAAAGCTGAAATGATTTCGAAGTATAACCTAAACTTTTTAGCAGAAAAATCAATACAAAAATAGCAACAATAGAATGTAGATTGTACTATAATACATATGTAGAAAAGTTTCAAGTCAAATATATAAGTTTGGTGGACTAATCCTTGTATTGCCAATTAATTTTAAAATGAAACCCTATTTGGACTTGTATGTTGTTCCTAATGGAAAACTGAACTGGATTTGTTGGTCCTAACATTTACTTAGGACTACTGCAGTAAACAAGTCGAGTCGAGCTCAAACCGAGAATGCATGAGCTCTAGGTTGCACCTAGCTTGGCTCGATAAGTAAAAGAGCCAGAAATCAAGCTCGAGCTCGCTCGTCTATATATATTAACAAGCCGAATTCGAACCTTAACGAGCCGATCTCAAGCTTTAACGTGCCGACTATAAAAAATTATATAAAAATTCTATTTTCGTTAACGAAACGAGCTTTATGCGAGCTCGAACTCAACAAGCCGAACTCGAGCCAAGCCGAGCTCAAGAGCGACTTGTTTCGTTTAATACCTCTGGTTAAGACATATAAAAAAGCATTGAGTTAGAAGAATAAAGATACATACAACCCACATGCTAAAAATACATATGAAATCATCAAATATTCACAAGCAAGCAAGCTCCTTTCGAAGCTCCTTGGCGTGGCCGGTCATCCTACCCAACTCGTACGCCTTAATCATCGTCCGGTACGTGACTCTATCGGGCGCACATCCTTTCCTCTTCATCATCTCAACCGCACCCTTCATCTCTGCAAAGCAACCCATCATCCCATAAGCATCCACCAAGCAGTTAAAAAACACGGTGTCCAACATCACATCCGAATTCTCAACAAATCTCAGAACTGCCCGGATCTTCTCAGCCCGCCCGGCCTGCCCGTAGGCTCTCACGAGCGAGCACAATGTAACGCAGTTGGGCTTCACCCTCTCAGACTGCATGACGCGAAACAGATACTCCATCTGCTTCACATCTCCAGCCCGTCCAAAGGCGTCGATCACAATGTTGTACGTGACGAGGGTCCACGAGAAGTGGTAAGCCTGCATGTACTGCATCACAGCACTCATCTTCCTGTAGTTACCCGTCTTGCCATAGGAGTCGAGGAGGATGTTGAATGTCTGGATTGTGGGGCTAATGCCTGCCAGCTGGAACTTCTCGTAGCACTTCTCCATCATCTCGATCTGCCCGCTGCCCCCAAAGGCTCTAAGGGTGGAGTTCATGGTCCACACATCCGGCTGGCACTCCCGCTGCCTCAGCATTCGGACGAGCACTGATTCCATCTCTGAAAATCTGCCCGAAACAGATACATTTTTAAAACAAATCTGTGACTGAAAAAAATGATTTAGTTTTAGCTTACCTCCTTTAGTTATGAGTTATAACTATGCAGTTGCTATTTCTTACAAAACTTACTGGACTGACATTATACTAGTAAAGGGACACACTCACACAAACAGAGAGAGAGAGAGAGAGAGAGAGAGAGAGAGAGAGAGAGAGAGAGAGAGAGAGAGTTACTTCTTTGCTTTGCCGTACGCATCAATAAGTGTATTATATGTTATCGTGTTGGGATTGACCCCTTGCATTTCCATGTCGGCAAGCAGAGATTGTACTTTCCCGAAGTCATTAACTTGTACGCACGACTTTATGAGGATTGAATATGTATACACGTCTGGCCGGCAGTTAAGAATCTTTTTCATTTGTTCGAGAATCGAAAATGCCTCGTCAAAAAGGCCACTTCGGCTGTAGGCTGACATAAGAGCGGTGTATGCTTCACGATCCACCACACAGCCTTCGTCTATCATTGCTTGGAATAATATGTGGGCTTTCTCGGGTTGCTTGCATTTTCCGAGCATGACAATTAACTTTATGTATATACCAGAGTTCGGCTTGTACCAAAGTTGCTCACGAAGAAGTTCGAACACCTGAAATTGTTCAGGATCTCAATCTAATCAGTAAAGTGAAGTGGGGCAGATATAATCGCGAGATAATTTTTTAGCAGTTTATTTGTTTGGTGGTATTTGCAAATATCATGAGAGCGCATGTATGAGCATTCAGGTTACATAGAAATAATGATCTTACATGCATAGAGCTTTTCTATTGACATTATCTGACAAATTTCCCATTTCACCATAGTCCATGAGTAATATAGTTTATGCAAAACTGAAAATATGATTTACTGCAGAAAATTTCTGTTTGCTTATTTGTGAATCATTTGAAGCTCAAAGTTAAAAAGAAGACCAAATTGCATGTGGTTGACAAGTAAAAATTTACATTGCCCTGCAACTCTAGAAATGGATGCTATGTACCACAAAAATCTTATCGGTCCCATCAGCCTTCCTAGAGTTAGACATTAAAGTTCCAGCTTTCAATGTTTCAAGCTAATATGTAAAGGTTTCGAGGTCAGGCCCATACCACTGCTTGCTTAAAGTCCTCTCAAACTTCTGTTTTAACTCATACAGCTTTGTTATATTTGGTTAAGAAAAATATAATGTGTCAGTGTAAGATGCTACGTCGTATGTGAGATGAGTTTCACAAATACAAGGTAGAAACATATTAGTTCAATTAATATTGATTTAGTTAAACAAACATAAGTTGCAACTTGAGTTTTAAAGGTCTTCTATTCAAGAAGACGAGTTGTGCACATAATGGTGAGTTGTTCACCTTCGTAACCACACGAAAATGAGAATCTATAAATAATTTTTTTCTTCGTGAATCTTACGCAAAAAAGTGCAAGGCTTGATCAATCCCGAAGCTCATTTCCAATTGAAGGAGGAAATAGAGTTTTTCGAGAAGGTTAATTTTCAAATTTTATGAAGTGTTCTTGAGATAAATATTGCATTGTAAAAATCGAATCTCATAGAGTGTCTCTATCTCCATTGTTGGTTATCATTCACCAACAAACTTTACAGTTAGTTCACCACAAACTCTTCCTTAATTCTTCAATCTTACTATTAGAAACGGGGGAATAGAGTGCGGTCCCACCAGATGAAGGGAGGAGTAGCCCAAAACCAATTGGTGATAGGAGGAGTAGCCCACTAGGCTTATATACTAGACTCATTTTTCCTATAGAATCAATGTGGGACACTCACAAGTGATATTCCAACACTTACAACTCTCGGATTCTATTAGCTTACAATACCAACAACTTCTTATGGACAACTACATTATACATATATTTGTCAAACGGGGGCAAAACGAGTGCGGTCCCACACAAGTGAAGCGCACTATAATAGGATTAGCCCAAATGAGGTTCCATCCCGAAACCAATTGGTGATGGGAAGAGTAGCCCACTACGCTTATAAACTAGGCTCATTTACCCTCTCAAATCAATGTGGGACAACTCACAAGTGATATTCCAACAATATTCCCACAAATCAATCCCTAAAGAACACCACTTCTTACACACCCACATAATCAATCACATCATCGGCACTGCTAACATCTCAGCCTCAAATTTACCCAACAAGTACGGATATCAGAAGAAAAAAGATCCAAACTTTTAACTGAAATCAAAATCAAGGAAAGGAAAACGAAGAGACCTTAAGAGCAGACTCCCAGCGCAGAGCGGTGATTCGCTCGTGAAGGGCTTCAAGCACAGTTGTGGGCAGAAGCTTCTTCGGATTGCCTTTCTTCTTCTCGATGACAGCTTTTGCTGCCTCTCTCCTAAGAATAATTGAAATGGCCTTCTGCGAAGCTATCTTTCTGTTGGTCTCCTCTTTTCTCTCTCTAGCCTCTTCAACCTCCTTCGCCTGTGTGTTTCTGATCTGGCCTTTGAACGTTTTCGAGTCGGGTCCCGGCCTGCCGCGGGGTTTGACGAGGTGGTTGAGTGGAACCGGGTAGGGGCTGCTGGGTCCGGCGACGGACGCCATGATTAAGCTCGACGGGGATGAATATTAAGGGGTGCTTCATACAAATCTGTATCTACATGGATGAAGGAATACTAAATTAAAGTTAGACGTGTAAATGATTAATATATATTATTTAATTATATTGATAATATTGATGATAGTAGAATTTTTATCGCTAATTATGTTTAATTAGATTTCGGGTATGAAATGATATGAATTGAAAAAATTTATGTACATACACACCCTAAGCATCCACATACATGTCACATATGAAATAGAATCGGACTAGAAAAATATATACTTCAATGCAAGTGTAAGTAGATTAAGTTCTGATGATGTAACAATATTAATAAAGAACTATTAATAGTCACCTCTCACGATAGATTAATAAATTAAACAAAATGGTCCACAATCCGACGATAAACACGACCAGATATGATATCAATATGCACTATTACAAATATTACTCACGACTCAATCCTGTTCCGGTAGAAACGCTCTCAACCTTCAGCCGTCCTATTTCGGTATCTAAACCATGAATAACAAATAGGCGGTATTGGAAAATTAGAAGACAGATCCTGACGAATCAAGTGTGGATAAGAACCAAGATGATAGACAATAATACAATCTGGTCGTGTAGACGTGGATCGTGCACGGAGCGGCAATATGGTTGTGCAGTACTTCTTGATATCCTTATCGTTGATCCCAAGACCGTACAAAATTACAACTGCATTAAATAATATAGCGATAGAAAACAAGTCGGCTACAACTTCCATCTAGTGCTCCCTGCCACAAGGGCACCCGTGCCATCTTATTCGTCTGAGTGCAGTGTCGACCTCATTATAATATATAAGCGTGTACATGGCAAAGTAGGCTTCAACACCATTTGCAATGCAGTCTGTTGCTACTGCCCACATGTCGTGGCCGCTATACACGTAATCCGTGAGCACGCGAAATCCGTAGTTCCCATCCGTGACAACATCCAAGTAACTCTCTTTGTAATCTAAAATTACGTTGGGAATTTGAGACACATATGCAAATGCAAAGATATTCGTCGGCCTAGTCTCTGTAATATCAGAATAATTTCATGTCACAACTCATATAATAGAATTTATATAAAAAAATTAGTTAACATTCAGGTAAAACGAAAAAATATTTTACCTATTGTCTCTTGTGAAAGGAGAGAAAACGAGCTTGTCAGGGCACACGAAGAACTGCTTGTACGCCCCCACGGACGACCTTTGTCTCTGTACTCACATTTCGGTGGTTGACGCGTGGTTGAATTGGTTTTTTTTTTTTTTTTGTCGATCTATTGTATTTTAATTTCACCGCAGGTTCTGTATAAGTTTGTTGGTCATGGTGAAGCTGAGCTCGAATGAGGTGATTCACGTGCCGCATCATTGCAATATCGTCCGTGTAAACATCGACAACAAGGTTCTGAAAAACCTGATGATCTGTCAATCCACTCTGGTCACCTATCCCTACAAGTATAAAATTAGAAATAAAAAAATTAAACAACATAATCTATTCTGAATACGAAGTGTACTAAAAAGTGAACAGAAACTAGAAAATACTCAATGAAACCTGAACCTTAAATTATTAATAAATTTTAATATATCATATTTTGATATTATTATATATATATACATATATATATATGTATGTATATATATATGATCTACCTTTATAAGTAAAAAAAAAAAGTTTTGATAACTTCTCTAAATTTATCAATCTTGCAATTATACATGACTTTAACACCTCTAATGTGCTTAAAAAAATATGGATACTGTCGACATTAATCGGCTCTGCAGAAGTCACTGTCGCCCTTAGCTCACAGGTAGAGGAATGAGTGGATCTCAGTGCACAGCCGAAAAGAGAGTCAATCTCATCGATCAATTGTTGCATCTGCTGAAGATCCTTATATAATAATTCATACATTAATGCGAGACCCGCAGTGACAAGTACGCGTATGAGAATCCCGTATACATTACAAACTTATTACGTCTTGAATACTCCAACGTGTACTTGATAACACATTACATAACGTAGACCCAATGAAATTCATAATTAATGCAGTAATAAAACAGTAACTATGTATAACTTAAGAAATGAATCTGACTTGAGTCAGTTAAGACTCAATCTTCTTATCAACCTTTAAGCCATCGCTTTAACACAGCGTGGACACTCTCCACCCTACACGAGGTTGTGTTACCAAACAAAATGTGTTACTATGTTCGTCCAGGATTTGACAAACTTTTCCTTGTGGACTAACTATGTGTGCTCCATATATTGTAACATTTTCTAAAACCTATTCTACCGACCATGCATTTCAACTACGACACTATGCTATTGATCCTTCGTTTCTGCTTCAACAACCTTTTTTCACTTGTCGTGCGCGAACTTCTGAGCGATTTCCCTATTTTTTTCAAGGAGCGATAGACTATGTCTTCCACATCCTTGTTGATGTGCCACGTGCAAAATAAATAGGCAGATTCTGGAAAAATCCTCCGTACAAGAGACATTATACCCAACTCCCGGTCAGTGACAATGGCTGTAGGATGTACATCAGACCCTATCCGACATC